CTTTAATTTCTTCCTCATGGAGGCCGTACAATCCTTTGTCTCCTCACTCTGGCAATCTGTCGGCTTCTGGAAAGCCGCTGCCATCTTCTTCGCTCTGCTGAACCTGAAAACACTACCGATCGTGTGGCATGTACGTATCCTATTACTTGCAAACGTTTTCATTTGACTCTATTGAACCAGATTCACTGACAGCACGCTAGATCCGGGTGTACCGCTACTTCTTCAAACATGGCTACCTCATTACCCCAGCCGTCGAACAACCCCCTCGTCCCTCCACCGAGATCCTGAAACCCGTTAGCATCTTCTCCCGCGCGCCCATCATGGAACTCGACTTCAACATGCACAAGTCCAACTCTACCTATTTCTCCGACCTCGATGTCTCCCGTACCGCTCTGATGTCGAATATTGTCGTGAAAGGAGCCGCGCTCTTGGAGAAGAACTTGAAGTCGGAAGGAAAGAAGGGCCCGTTGGGATTCATCCTTGGCAGCGTCTATACCAACTTCAAGAGAGAGATCCCGGCCTACATGAAGTATGAGGTGAAGTCGCATGTTGCCAGTTTCGACCAGAAGTGGATCTATATTATCACCTACTTCCTCAAGCCGGGCAAGGGATCATCGAAGAAGGGCCAGGACGATAGTGAGGTCCAGAAAAAGAGGCTGCTTGCAGTGTCGATCAGTAAATATGTGCTCAAGAAGGGTCGGTACACGGTACCTCCTAAGGATGCGTTCGAAGCTGCGGGATACACTCCTCTGTTGGACACGAGTGCGGCCAACGGGCACGCAACCGGTGTGGAAAATGGACATGCCAACGGTGCTGCCGTTCAACGACAGGAGACTGCCGATGGCAAGTCCGATGAGTGGGACCGTTTGAAGGCGGAGATTGATCGGGGATTGACCATTGTCGAGCCCTTCATTGACCAGGAGGACAAGCTCATGGAGGACTACGTTCACAAGATGGGCCTTCCGGGATTTGCATAGAGTTATAGACTACTAGACCTTTGGTTTGTATGATAGAATTTGCTTTTCGGGGTTTGATTGGGCATAGATTCATTGCGATATACCAGGAGTTGTTTGCATATTGTCGTCGCTAATATCACATTAGTATTTCTGTGAAGTTTTGTTTTCTTGAACCACAACCAGTAAAGAGTAAATGCGGTGGCTGGACAAATGCACTCGGTGGCTCGGATCTCGGACGCTCGGCGATCACCCCGAAGCCCCAAGGCGATACATACTCTACGTTTACTCCACCATAGATCGCAACTGCCGTGGCAGGCAGCGCTCTAGGGAGTATGAAGTCCTCCTTTGCCGCTTTATCCGTGGAGATCCATTAGAGGAAGCTTATAAGAACCGCTGATCATTGTGTCTGTATGCCATGCATGTTGACAGCCTATAAAGCAGAACAGTGTCCTTCCCTTGAATCAAATAAGTTTCCCCGCGCCAAATCGATCACTCGACGGTTTCATATTCCTTCCATTATTTCTGCACAAACATGTTTTACGAACCCGGTGTCACTGAGCATGGCCTCCCCCATGATCCTTTCAAGGTAAAAAAAAAAAAAAAAAAAAAAAAAGAATACCTGGCGATAGACCGAGATGATCAAAACTGACGTTGATTCTCCTCTAGGCCTGCGTGGTTCCTCGTCCTATTGGGTGGATTTCCACCAAGAATAAAAAAGGACAATGTAACCTGGCGCCTTACTCACAGTTCAATAACCTGACTTTTGATCCGCCATACGTGATGTTTTCTTCCAATCAGACCGCTACTGGCGCGCGCAAGGATACAGTGGTGAACGCTGAAGAAACTGGAACTTTTGTCTGGAACCTGGCTACCTGGGATCTGCGTGAAGCGGTTAATATCTCGGCCGAACAGACCCCTTATGGGACCGACGAATTTGAACTATGCAATATTACTAAGGAACAAGCGACCCTTGTGGATGTTCCAATGGTGAAGGAGTCGCCCGTGAAGTTCGAATGCGAGTACCACACGACGGTTAGACTGCCAGGAAACCCACCCATGGGGACCGTCGATATCGTCATTGGAAAGGTTATCGGGGTTCATATTGCTGATGAAGTGCTCACCGATGGATTGCTGGATATTAAGAAAACCCAGCCGATCGCTCGCTGCGGGTATTATCAGTATACCGTTGTTCGAGATACATTTGAGATGATAATCCCAAATATGTCGGCGGACGTTCTATATGGCTTGGAGGGAAATGCGGCCCGTAATCGGCAGAAGAACGAGGAGAACGAAGAGAGCTCTAACAACTAGCAATGGCTAATGGTGGAATGAAAATCCTGCCGTTCCTTACCACCGTCGCTTTCCATAAACACAGTATATGTTAAATAGAAAAGAATCGCAATCTACTATGACGCTAGATCATCTAGATCCCCTCGGAGGCTTGCAGATTGTAGCCTAACTGTGTAGCACCAAGTCGAACGCTGAACCCTTGCTAATATCTTCTTCGTGATGGAGTCCAAGGGAAGTATGCTGATTACGTTGCCAGATTAGGGGAGACAAACAACAAGAATTCAGCTACGACACTGACAGGCAACGTAGATGAAGACCGCACAGCTGACAAGTCTATAGCCTGTCTAAAGAAAAGACGTCCAAAACTTATACAACACCCCATTAGCCGGTATAATCGAGAGATGCCCCTTGTGAGTATCCTTGCCGGGTTTGCTGCTCATTGCGCCATGGTTAGCGCTGTGGGGTGTAGTTTTGGTCGAACAATCTTACCCAGCAAAGCACACCACATATCAGAATTCCTCATGTCGGAGGTGACCAATATTACCTTATACAGTTCAATTGGGCTTCATGCGTAAGTCTTTCATCCCAAATGTCCGACTATCCAGCTAAACTGCACTCTAAAAGCACTGCTTGTCTTTGACCCGAATGTATCTCAAGAAAAGTATGAATTAAGCTAAGATAGACATTAATCTACTCGGTAGAATACATGCAACCCCTGCGGTGTAACATGATCACTGCCACCTCCGCTTCAAGCAACTAATGTCTAGAGCAGTGTGAATCCCAGTAAATGTTTCCATTTACAGGTTGCCCTGGCCAGCGTTGGAGGCAGGAGCAGTGCTGGCGGTGTCAGCGGTGGCAACGGTCTCACCCTTGAACTTGGAGAGAACGTCGACAGTGGTGCCGGAGAGGTCACCAGAGTCGGTGAACGAGTTAGCCTTGCAAGCGCGGCCGATGTAGGAGCTGCAGGTGGCGGCGTCGCTGGAGGAGGAGAAGAGCTCACCCTGGAGAGAGGAGCTCTCGACGGCGGCGGTGACACTGGCGAAGGTGTTACCCTCAGCAAGGACGTAACCACCGGAGCCGATCTCGAAGGCGTGGTTAGAGTTGTCGTTCCAGTAGTTGTTGACAGCGTGCAGGTAGGTATTGCCCTGGACCTTAGGCGCACGACCACTGGTCTTGTAGAAATAGTTACCCTTCATAGTAACCTTGTCACTGGAGCCGTCGAGGTAGACATTCCAGTAGTGGTGGCCGTCGCAGGTGGCCGAGTAGTCAGACTCTCCATCGATGTAGTTGTTGGAGAGGGTGACGCGGTTATCGGCCTCAGTTCCGAGGACGTAGTGCTGGCGACCAATCCGAGCAGTCTATGACATTTGTCAGTTAACTTATTCCTATCCACGCAAATCTTCGATATCTGGAAAGCATACGGTGACATGGTCAACCCAGACAAGATCGGCCTGGTTAATAGTGATAGCATCACCACCCCAGACGTACTTAGGGTTGATATCGGTGACTGCAATGTTCCTGGACACGGTCAATATCTGCTACCTTTCGAAGTAGGAACACAACGGATGCCAACGTACTGGATAATGACGTTCTCAACACCATTGACGATACGGAGGCCCTTGCCCTTAATGACACCCTTGGTGCCCTCACCAATCAGGGACTTGTTGGAGTTGACAGTGATACCAAGCGAGCCGGCGTTGTCACTAGTGCGTGTTAGGGAGACGCTAATGCTTAATCTCATGCTTGTAGCAGACTTACTAGGTCACAGAGACAGAGGGAGCGCTGGACTCGTAGTTGGTGCACCAATCATCCTTGTTGATGGCCACCTGGCAGGCGGAGCCAGTCCCCCAAGGGGCGCATCCCGTGGCCGTGGTAGTACCCTCAGTGTTAGTGAAGTCGAAGGTCTTGCTCAGAACGATCACACGGGCCTCATCGTCACCGAGGTAGGAGACCAGCTCATCGGTGGTAGAGGGGTAGACGGCAGTGGCACTGCCACCACCGGTAGCGCTAGATGCGAAGCCCTCCGCGGTGCCAGAGACACCAGCAGCCAAGGCCTGGGAGGCGAGGGCGGCAACAGTCGTAAGAACAGCGGCGTACTTCATCCTGGAAGTTTTGCGTTGGGATTTGAAATGGTATCAAGGAAAGAATGACAAGAGCGGAAACAAAGGAAAGCAAAGAATGACAGAAGTGAGATTGCGTGCGTTGAGAAGGAGAATAAGAAGCCTTTCTGACCAGCAGAACTCATTCTTATACCTGATTTTCTTCAGCACCGTTATTGTTTCGGCCTTGTTAGGGAGTCTCATAGTGGGTGGGGAGATAGAGGGCTAATCTCGAACAGCCTCCATAAGCCAGGAAGAAGGATGAAGGAACGAATCACTGTCCGGATGGATTGGCTACTGTACATGGTGAAGCCCTTGCCGATCCCTCCGGCGTCTATGTTGGTTTGGGTAGGTGATCGTCAGCATCAGTGAAACAACTCCACCACGGCCAGCCGGTAAAATGTCGGTTCGGCATTGGGGCTCACGCTGCTTGATATGGTGGTTTCAAGTAGATGGGTATTTCTCTGGCACATATTGTGCTGGTTTATTGGTGGAATCCAAGGTTGTCCGATAGGGGAAACTGCATGACGCGGCAGCTCCAGCACTCGTAAATTAAAAATTGGTCACCTTCATGCCTCCACCACTTCTCCTGGCGGTGGAATAGCACGACCAATTCCTGCGGGTGAGTCATTTAGCGGGATTCTATCCTGGCATACTAGCAGGAGAACATGTTTGCCAGGGAATCACCAGCGATCTTGGTTACAGAGAGAGTTACTCCGTTGCGATGATCGTGGATACTGTCGGAGAATTTTGCTGCCGCGAGGTTCCATTTAGGGCTGGTCCACACCCGCCCCAACCAAGTTATGTAAAAACCTAAAGGAACCATGCAATTTCCGCTGTGGGATGATCCATCAATATAGAACTGATTCGGGCTTGATCTTTTAAGCTTAACCTACCGTTTAATATACGCTCTTCCAATGGGAGAGCGGGCCCGCCCCCGTTATCTCCCTCTTGGGGCAGACTCTCCCGGTATCGCTGTTATAGTTAATAACGTGGATATCAATCTATCCACATTGTCTATGATGGGAGAGGTGTGCTCAAAGACGTGATTCATTCAAGGAGTCTAGGGGATCTCTCAGCATAGCCAACGCCACCGACAAGCTGTTACGTATGTCTAGATGAAACACGGTCTAATATCCCGATGCCTAGCAGACTGCGACTCCGAGAGTAACGAGCTCTAGTTCCACCGTCGACTTGGAGGGCTTTGAGTCTATTGGAGGACGCTCATATAAGCGTGTGCTGCCAAGCAACTATGACAGCGCCTCTTGCATCGTACGGAATGTACACTCCCGATCTACCCTCACATCGGCTAGTCGTCACAACATACATACATGGATGTTATCCCGAGAGGAGATACTCCGATCTATTCCTGTGCACTTTATCAAAAGGCTCCACTGAAGTGGGCCACTAGCCATCTTAGTAGTGCCCGACCAACGCTTACATTGAGGAGCAGCGGCTGAGGCTATCCAAAACTCATACAATGACCACGACATCCAGTAGTTCTTGTCCAGTTCATCTTATTTTATTTCTTTTCTCTTATTATTTGCTGCAAACTCTTACGTACCTGATGAATATGGTACGATTATGTTAAGTATAGAATGGTTCTCCACAGCGACTGGTTCATGGATATCATGGAGCATCCGTTGCTCCAGCTACTCAACCAATGAGATCTTCAGACCTAAATGGCATGCCCACGAAGCATTTATTAAGGGATAAGACACATCAATGACAGCGCTGGACGATGACAATGTAAGAGGTATCACGTCAAACTCCGGGAGGCATAGCACTGGCCAATGGTTTCAGACTGTGTTCTTGACTATATACACTAATGTTCAATATACTACAAGCTGTATTCAATACTAGTGCAGGGTGGTTGACAAAGCCTCCCACTCTTTCACACCAACACCGGCATATTGTCCCTGGGCACCAGACGCAACTAAGATGGCGCGGATTGCGACAGTATCCACCGTCTCGAATGCCACCACATCGGGCGTGTCGGTTACTTCTAGGGGATACGACGAGGTGTTCGTAACCCGTTGCCACGTACCTGAAGCATCCTTGTACTCGATGTACCATTCCTGGGGAGGAGCAACGCCTTCATTAGCTCCAGCAGCTTGATCAGCAAAGAAAACCATAGATGTGCCATTAAGCTGGACCGTTTCATTCCAGGAATAAACGAGCGTGCTCGTTTGGGGGGAGTCTGTCGCTTCGTAGGAGCTCCAGTAGTCTGGTGGTAAAGGGTTCTCTCGAATGATTCCATCATTCAAGGCCTGTACCCAGTACTGGATTGGCGTCGGGCGTGCAGAACTTGCTATCGCTTTGGGGGCGACATTGTAAGTAGGCGGGACTGGCGGCTTAGGCCGGAATGTCTGTTGCACAACATTGATTTTGGCAGGGGTTTGACTATCGTCCCAGGTGAGCTTATCGAAGGCGACACTACGGCGAAAGTGACCTCCTCCAACAGCGTCGGCCGTGTGGTATACCAGATACCATTCACCATTCCACTCGACCGCCCCTGGATGAGAAGTAGTGGAGGATACAATCGGGAGAATTACAGCCTGGAATGTCCAGGGGCCCATTGGAGACGACGCGGTTCCGTAGGCTATACAGGCGTGATAGGAGGTTGGCGTACAGGGTGAATCAGATCCAGCATTATTTGCTGCGAACAGCATGTAGTACACATCCTGCCGCTTCATTAACCAGGGCGCCTCAAAGTAACCCGTCAGACTGGTCACTTGCGTAACATTCGACGTCACTGTGACCATATCCGAGTCGAGTTTATAGCCAAGCAGCTGCCCAAAAGTCCCGAAGTAGATGTACACCTGTCCATCGTCATCGACAAGCACGGTCGGATCGATGTTCTGGATGGTATTGCCGGGGGGTGGGACCGACTGGGAGATGATCGGGCCCGAGGGATGAGCATCCTGGAAAGGGCCCATTGGAGAGTCCGAGACGGCCACGCCGATGGCAAATGCATCTTCATTGGCGCTATCGGCCTGGGTCACCGGAGCGTACAAGTAGAATCGGCTATCAGGACCCTGGACAACTTGCGCAGCATACGCGCTGCCGGATTCGGCCCACGCAAACACTGTCCGAGGGTCGGCGACGTCGGGATACAACGTCCATGTACCCCCCTCTGGCTTTGCGGACGATGAGGCGAATATCCCCCATTGGTTCATCACGAAGGTATTCTCATCCGGGGGTGCGCTGTCATGTCCGGTTATGATATACAGCGTTTCATTGACGACCAACGGGGCAGGATCCCCAGAGTACCACGACCCATTGGATAAAATTGGGTTGCCATTTGCAGTAAACGAGAACGGTGAAGAGCTATCTACCTGTGCTGTCACGGCAGCCGCATAAAACGACAACTTGATCAGCAGCGAACGCATGCTGTTTGAGGCGTTAGAAGCCGTGCCTTTGGTCTGACATTTTGACTAGTAGTTCCAAACTTTATACCACAGCTTCTACCTATTAGTTCACACGGAGTGACCTCCGAGAAGGATAGAGAAGAAGAGGAACAAATTAACCGACAGCGCCAGGTACTAACCGAGTCATGAAACAAACCTCTGCAAGTCTCAATTTCATCTCTGGAGTTCGGCCTTTTCCAAATCCACCAATAAAATCCTCGTGAAATTTCTCCCTGGCGTGATATGGGATATAAGTCAAAAGCGACCATAAAGAGGGTTAGATAGGACCAGCGATTCAAGAAATCCAAACAGATGGAACAGCTACCAAGGGTGAGGTATGCTCCAGTCTATTATCCGCATAACGTTAACAACAATCCATGGAGCACTATGGCTTTGTGCTACAAAATATATATCCGAGTATAGTCACTGAAGGACTCCTCCATATGTTTGGATGCTGTAACAACTCGATTGCGCTGCTTCAAGAGTCGTATCTGGGACACATACTATGGTAAAGCGCGTAATCTCATCAAACTAGTAAATATAAATTTGTGTTTCCTTTGCTATCTTGTTGAGGCGTGACTTTTTGTTTGTTTGTGGCAGCGACAAGTGGCGGTGCACCGTGCGCCTGTTGCCTCAGGCAGAGAGGAATTTTAGAAACGCCGACATTCCACCGAAGACCGAATGTCTTCAGATTGCGACCGTGACGAGGCTCCGGTAACACTTCGCCAGGAATTCCGGCCACCTACTCCATCCCCGAGCGGAAACCATACGGTGTTCGAGAAGCTATCGATTGCTGTCGTTAGGGACTCACTGTTAGTGCTACTATGATCGTACGGCCAATGCTGAGCATAGAGCTACGAGACGCAACATATGCGCGCAGCGATAGATGGGAGAGGAGGCTATCCAGTGTGATTGTTCTCCAAAGCTACTTCATTATCTTGTAAAGCTTACAACACAGCAAACCTCTCGGTTAGATCTACTGCCTGGCCACCGTGACAGTCACGGAGCCACCCGATAGCTCAACCGCCACACCTCCCCTCCTCTGTTCCCCGCTGGTCGTTACTGCATACGCGTCTTTTGTACCAGGATTCTCAACCCATACAATCGCCGTGGTCGCATTGGATGTCCCTGCGACAATGCTCAGTTCCAATGAGTTTGGCTGAGTTGCGGAAAACGAGAACTCTTCGATTTGGCCGGCACTTATCGTGACGTAGACGCCCATTGACGCAATATAGACACGTCGCCGGACAGCATCACGCGGTTGCACAGTCACCGTCTCGCTCTCCACTAACAGATTACCACCGTATGCGATGAGGCCGACGTCAGGGTCATCCACGACGTATGTACCAGCACCCAGCATCATTCCAAGGAAGCTAGGACCGTAGTCTCCGGAATAATCGTCGCCCTTGAGAGTGTCGGGAAATGAGTGGAACGCGTTGTACATTGAGCCGTCCTCCCGAATATTGCTTAATGGGCCAATGATTCCACCGTACCCAACTCGGAGAAGATACGTATCGGTCGGGTTTTGTCGAAACTCAGCGAGAAGGGGTAATGCGTTGAGGCTGGAACCATAATGATGAATCATGCGTTCAATGCGCTGAAGCTTCCCGGCATAGCTAAACGATTTCAGTAATGGCAAGACGGATTGGAGAACCGAAACTTACATGAAGTCCCAGTAACGCCGGGCGTTCCCATTCCAACCCCAATGCGATACCGTTGGCATAAGGCCCAAAATGTTATTGACGGTCTTCGTCCTTGTTTGCGTGAGATTGAAATAACTTTGCTCATCGCCAATGTTAGTTTCCGAGCAAGGTGTCGCGAGGAATTCCTGCGCAAACTGGGGGGAGAAGAACGACTTACTTGCTCCAGTAATAGACACCCTCCTGGCCCGTGCAATCCCACGCCATTTCACTTCCAAAGGGTTCCGATTGCAAGTCCCACGCTTCGGCGCGTAGTTTCATGGCTGCCTCTACCGCGTCCGCTTCTTCCTTCCAGCCTTCACGTTGCAGGTCTGCCAGGAGCTCCCCGACAACGGTCTCTCCCATGAGGCCCAGGCGCGAGTAACCCACCAGGCCGTCCCCGGCAGAGTTTGTCGCAAAGCATGTTACGGTCGTATTGTACGCCTGGCCCAGGTACCATTGCCATGGGTGTACCTTGAGAAGCGCCGGGTTGTCACGGCCGGCACGATACAATGACCAGTATGCTCCAATAACGTGAATATAGTCATACGCACGATCGGTGGCGTATGAAGCTTCCTTATTCCAAGACCACCAGTTTCCCCAGTCGATACTGCTGCTGTACTCATAATCCGGCAGTTGATCTGGATCGTAGTAGAAGACGCTCTTACGAACCGTAAAATCGGTGTTTTGAATGGTGCCGAAAAGCACGTTGGACGCAAATTCTTCCAGCTTCGCGACCTCCGCCGCGTTGGGAAGACCGTGCTCTTTCATCGTGGAAGCGAGGAATATGGCGCCGCCTTCGTCCATCAGTCCCGCAATCCAAACACGCGCCTCTTGAAGAACTTGTGCTTTGGTGGCCTCGTCATACGTGATCACAGAGGGTGCCCGACCAAAGGCGTCCGTCTCGTCATCAAACCACATGGCAGTAGTGGAGAATTCACCTAACTTGGAGATCACATCCGGGGCCGTGTCCGTGATAAAGTAATGGACTGTCTGAACTTTTCCGTCCGCGTAGGAGATGGTGACTTTGGTCCGTCCCCAGGCTGATTCAGTGGGGGAAAGGGAGACCGAGTTGGATGAAGGGCGTGCAATGTCGAAGGCATTGTTGTCGGATACGATCTTGGAGACATTGGCCGAGTGAAAGACGAACAACCGTGCCGTCAGATCGCGGGGAACGACGTATCCTGTGCCTATCGTCAAGGGGGTATTTGTCCCCTGGATAGCCTTTTGAATTCCACGCACTCCATCCTTGACCACGGAGAAGCGAAGGCCCACCGTGGTGGATTCGCCGGGTTTGAGGCTCCGCGCGGTTGGCTCATTCCATGGATTCACCTCAGCCCATTCCTTCTCAGCATATGCCTTTGAATGGGTCTGCCACTCATAGAACCCTTCGAATGTCTGGCTACCGTACCCAGTGTACTGGTCAGATGCCTCGTCGAGGTTGCGCCAGGCTTCGAACGGTGTACTCGTATTGACCAACGGGGTGATAATCAAGGCTGGACCCTGTCCGGAAGTTGGAGTGAATTGTAGATAGCCGGCATCCAGTCCGATGTAAGGGTCCACAAGGGAACATTGTGCTGTAACTTCATCCGCCGTGCGATTAGTAAAGATACTGTTGGACTCAATCGGGAAGCCCAGGCTGCCGATTTCTATGCTACTGTTACCCTTGTTCGTGAGGGTGAAGCTCAGCCCCAAGTCGCCCTCGATGTCCAACCATTGGCGAACAATTTGTAGAGCCGAGCTGCTAGGCAAAGTTGATGTTATATCGGCCGCGGCGAGCGCATTGGCGTCAAGCGACTTTACAGCGGCTCGAGCCTGTGAGGAATCACCGGCAGTCCATTCTTTATCCCCCACCGCGCGATACCGGAAGGTGATGTCTCCGATATGGTACTGACCGTTGGCTGCTCGGTATGGCAAGTAATCCGACGGTAAGAAGTCAAATGATGACCCGGATGACTTGAGGGATGCCAGGATCTGGGCATCCGTAACAAGCTGGAGGTCGAAGTTGTCGGTCTTCAGGTTCGTATAGCCATTCGCTAGGCCTAAATCATCACTCTGACCCTGGACCAGGAAGGCCGAGGCAGAGATCAGTGCCAACGACGTATAAAAGCGTAACAACCCCATTGCGCAGATGGCGGCGAAGTAGGCATTTTTACCTTCATCGCTTGGAGCGCATGCCACATTCAAATATACCTTCCCGGACGATGGGGGTTTGAATTTCCCCCCAGGCCGCACTTGACATCATGGCTGGGTTCAATTAGGGTAGTTTTCCTGAGGGGAAATGAAGCCAGTGTCCTACCTGCCTAAGCGCACTTCGGCTTCACATCCCGCTGATATGCAGATTCGCCGATTGGTGGACCCGATTTGATTCAGGGGCAGATATAGTGAGACATCTCGCTGTAACCCTGATCAATATCACATCATCTGATTGATTGGACTGAACTCGACAGGATTTCAATTCCCTTTTTGAAGTGCGGAGACAGAGATGGTTGCATTGACCCTCGGGTAGCCCTTTTCCCTATTAACCGATGCATGCGACGATCACTTTTGTCCGAACACATCCATAGTAGGAATGCAACCCTTGGAGAATCAGGAGTCTCCGGACATATATAATCGATCGTTAATCTTCAAGACGCCACCTCTGAGACTATGTCCTTTCGACCTTGACCGCTGTACCCAACGTCCACACAGTTCTCAATGTTTGTCGGCATGCCTTTCAAGCGTAGGACACACCCACAAGGGCTGTTTCAGGAGTGTTACAGTGGTTATTGAACCCATTATGCATGGTACATCGCTGAGCAGAACAATCCGATTGCTACAAGTTCGAGGTCCGGGTTCCCTTAAGACCCCCAGTTTCCCGGTCTGGGTGCCTCTTACTATCTATCGCCCAAAATAGCACCATTGTATTAGCCGCTATCAAGTCTACCTGAGCTTGTAGTATGAGGGAGGTAATCGCGGACTATTCACACTGGGATCGGCTACACTGCTCACATTGACCTGAGTGCTGACAACAATGTCCCCGCCATTGCGGCAAAGCTCCTCCTCCGAGTCCGCGTGTGAAACATTGGTAGTGCCTTGTTTCAGTCTCTGCACAATGCTGCTTTTGATTATCTTCCGATTTCCGCGGGCTTTGGAAGTCGTTCCCAGTTCGTACGAAGATGGCTTCCGACCGCTCGAGCCGTACAAGGTTCCCGAAACATGTGTCCTCCAGACCGATCGGAGGGAGGGCATATTAGCTGTCATGATCGCTGTGCAGAGCTCAATTGTTGTGACGATAGCAACGGAGCCGTAGACGTAAAAGGTTCTGGAGCCGCTGGCCAGCTGTACAAGCACGATGAAGCGGAGAAGGGACACCAGAATAGTGCTCCCACCGACAGTAAAACAGGCAATCAGTCCCACTCGTCGTCGTGCAGACATCTGTAGAGTCCATAGGGGATAAATCGGCAGAATATAGATGAGGAGATCGGTTAAGACGTTCTAAGAGGTGCGATGCTATTAGAACTCGGAGACTGGCGGGCAACTTATACGGATATCCTTCGGCTCACCATGCTTGCAGGAAAGTACAACGTCACCGCTGTGGGAATACACTTCGCATTCGGATGAGCCTCCGGGTGGAAGAAGGCATCCAACGGAAGACATTGCAGACCGTAAAAAAGTAGAACGGCTAAGGTCTGCGCCGATGTAAAGACCATCACTCCATATACGGTCTTTTTGTACAATGGCGAGATGCTCAATACCCGAAGATAGAAGGTCAAAAAGGACATCTTGATCAGCCATTGGCAGAAGATATACACGAATTCAATGACGAAGAGAAGCTTTCAGATGGGTAAGCGAATGGGACAGACGGCCAATTAGGGGTGACTTACAGTCACAATCTTTAGCAAGTTTTCAGGTGGAACGTCTTTATCCTGTCTATCATACAGAGAGGGATTGTGAGTATGGCAAACAACTGCCCTCTAGAACGATCGACTTACTTTCCTCCCCCGAACATGATCATCTGCCCCAAGATGCCTTGAGTGGCAAGCCATGTTATCTACTACTGTCAGCGCTCAGTCTTGAAACGAAAGGAAGAGAACTAACACTCGCAGCTACCATAAACCAGTCATCGGCGCCGAAAGATTTGGAGAGGCAAAGCCGAGAGTATATTCGAAGGATACAGGACAAGCTGGTGATGACTACGAATGGCATCGACACTGCCCATGTCACGGGCTGCAAGTTCTCGTTGATCCCCATTCCATGAAGGTCTTACCATCAGGAAGCCCCCATGAGTCGCACCCTCAGATATAATGTTGAACAACCATGGGCCTCTCTTTGCTTCTTTTGTTCGCCTGGCTTCATTTTCTCTCCTCGTTTCCCGCTCATTTTTCACGTCCTGTCGGCATTTGATCCTGCATAGGAGAGTGGACCAACTAGGGTTGGATCATCGATGAAGTGGAGCTTCTCGGGCTTGGTTGACTGTACCGTCCTGTCAAAAGCTTTAGCGCGCAAATGCCCCTTTTAAAAGGTACTTCAGTTTCACCTGACTTATTTACTGAGGCTTTTGTTGCCTCTATTCTGATAGGGTAGTAATAGTCTCTATGCCCACTATGCCTCGCCCAAGGAATTCAACGGAGGTGAACTACCAGCGAGAGGACTGGTCTCAAATTATTCTCACGCTTACTGCTCCCAAGTTCACTACCGAAGGATTTTAGATCACATATTAATAAACAAAAGACGGCTCCTAAATTACGAGACACAGATCCGGCACATCTCGGGGGTGAAGGCGCTTACGTGCTTTACGATAGCCCTCTTTTCTATTGAATTACATGTTCAAATAATGGCTTGGAATGAAAGGAAGACAAAGGCATTATAATGCAAACGGAGGTTGTTCACTACTTCATACTGTATGTATGTCGGTACGTCCCAAGTCTCTGGGGTTGAACCCAAGCGTCAGATTTGGGTTCGAGTCTTCGTAATGCTGGGATAGAATCAACTCGATCAAATACCATACATACTCTGGTGAGTTACCATCCGCAGAGAAGCGATCTGAAAGCCGAAGTGTC